TCGTATATTTGTTTCTTATAGTCAAACGGTGCCATCGTTTGTAATTTTTTTCTTATAGTAAAATGATGTTACCGTTTGAAAAAAAATCATGGGTCCATCTCTGTCCAAGACTGATGGAGGATTTTCAAGAAATACAATAAGTTTGATACTTTGATTTTTTTGAAAAGCAAATATATTAAAAGGAAACAGAAACATAAACAAAGCATATAGAATAAAGGAATATGCAAAGGGCATATCGTCAGGCAATCAAAGTACCGAAAAACTGAAGCAAACAAACGAAAAATGACTTAATGACAATGAAAACGACCCATAAAAAAACACATAACACAAAAGCGAAAAGACCATGTCAAGCAGTAATAAAGTTTTTTATAATTTATGTAAAAATTTAAAAATAAAGATATAACTGAAAAATAGCTTATGGAGCTTAATGAAAAAGCTACCTAAAACACAAATATAGCATTGGAGAATAATGTTCTTACTTTTAGTATCAAACAAAACCCTAAACTAAAAACTAAAAGTTATGAATCTAAAGTTTTTTAAAGGTTAACAGTGCCTGGAGGTCTTTAGTTTCCTGTCTTGTTTTCCACATCGTTATTTCCTTTATTAAAATCTACAGTTTTTATGTCCGTTTCGTCTTTTTGGTCTCATTTAACATATGATAATAGTAAAATACTTCTATCTATGTGAAATATGGAACGAAACCCCTTGAATCTTTTGGGGGAATATTGCGGAAGAAAAGAACGTTTTTTTTTCTCTGTATTTAACAAAAACTAAGGGGTCGTTTACCCAAATGTTTACCTAGTAAGTGCTTATCAATAGGAGTCAACACAAAAATTATTTTTGATGCGTAAGATTTTAGTATATCAAAACATATCGAATACAACAATTTATTGAGTAAACGCTTACCTGGGTAAGAATCGTCATCCTCACTTACCGAGTAAGACTCTTCATCCTTCTCATCGCTCTTACCCGTTAAGATTCTTGGTCATTTTCATGTTCATCTAATGAGGAAATTCATGCGTTAAACACTTACCAAGTAAGTGTTTAAGTAAACGACCCCTAAATCTTATTTACTGGATGATTGTACATTTCAATATGTATTATATTATGTATTACAATAAAATGAATTAGGTTTTTCAATGCGAGATCTAAAAACATATCTTTTTGTGGCACCGGTGCTAAGTACTCTATGGTTCACTTCTTTGGCAGATTTTTAAATTCAAATAAGAATGAAAAATCTCATTGTGGCCACAGAAGTTCAAATGTTGTGACTTTGCACTACCCATAAAGCAAGTGAACGCCATATGATTAATCAGTCTGCATAACAGATTGAATATTCAGGTTAATAAAAAAAAATAAAGGATTGAAAGGTTTTAAATGATGAATCATAAAGATGTTGAATAGATTGGGGAAGAAGTAATTGAAGAGAATGATTGATGCTTCCATTAAATGTAGGCCCTCTATATACCAATTATGGGTTTGAGTGTTTTTGTCATGCCTATGGGCAAAAATGTCATTTTTTTTAAGATCATCTTCAACAAATTCTTTTTAATTTCTTTTAAAAAAAACTGCATTATACTTCAACTGTGTCATTTTGACATTAACAATCAACAGTTCACCAACTATACGATTTAAATTTATGACATTATATTTATATACTATATTATAAAGTATTTGATAAAAACTCTTAAAAACCATTTTTTATACTTGAAGTACTGTTTATTGATGTATATTATTTAAAATTCAAGATTACAAATAAGTTGTACATAAGTACAACTTATTAAAGCTTCATGTTTCAATTCAAGTAACTACTTGCAAATAAACATAATCAAATAAAGAATAAACATGTCATTTTAAATATAATTAGAATAATTATTGAATTATAACAAAATGTTTAATTATATCTTTATAAAAAAATATATTATTAAACAAAAATTAAAAAAATAAATTAAAGAAATACACAAAAAAATAAGAAACTTTAAATAATTAGTTTGATACTAATATAAAAAAAAAATTCAATTTTTTATGATATATCTTCATACTTATATTTTAGTCCTAAATAAAGACATTATTGCTTTCTTAAAACAATATAAGACCTCATTATAACATTGACTTTTTGACAAAAAAAAAAAAAGAAACATTGAAATCGAGATGTGTCTTGTTGCATTGTGTGAATATCCTTCTAGTATATATATAATCAAACCGGACAAATTTTGCCTTCTTAAAAAACTTATCTGTTTTAGAAACTGTAACAATATAATCACTCTCTAAACCTCGTGTGTATTACTTCTTGGACACTTGGATACCCCTCGTTGGGATCGACACTTTGTCACATGTAACCTATCGAAAATGATACAAAGAGGATTCGAAAGTTAACGAGGCTTTTCTTCGATCTCTCAAAAGAAGCCCAGAAGTTTACATCGAACAAAGAAAACAGAACCAAATGCGGGTGCCATGCGACTCAACCCCCATCCAAGTCGACTAGCTGCTAGACGATGGCCACCTGGGCGGATGGTGCGTGGCCAAACCCAAAAAAGGGTCGCATATGTTAACTATTTGCTGCACTTTTCTACGGCTCATTTGCGACTGTACTTGCATGAAGGTCGTCCAAGCAACAAGCAACAAGCAACAAGCATCACATGGTTCATATAAGCATTAATCCATCAAAACAGTATCATATGCAACAACTTACCCGATAAATGCTAATAAGGTAAGAGTCGTCACCCTCACTTACCGGGTAAGATTATCGGTCTTTGACTTATTCAATCATTAAGGTAATATGACTTGATAAGCGCTTACTGTGTAAGCGTTTGGTAAAACCCCTAAATCTACGAATTAAACATCCAAGTTATATCATTAGATATTGTTTCATAATTCATATAAGAATACATATGACAAAATACCATGAAGTAGTTATGAGTGACTTGCCCAATCTTTGAAAAAGTTGCATAAGCCTGTCAAGTAGTTATATCTGGATTCTCATTTGGTGAGCTACCACCACCCTTTTGTGGTACTGGTACTGGTACTTGTATCCACCAAATACTACATGTAAAACTTTTATTGCAAAACTGAGAATAAAGATGAAGAGTAAACTACAAATTTGGTCTTTACGGTTTGTCGAAAATAACATTTTCCGTTCCTATAGTTTGAAATTACAAGATGGCCATCGTGGGTTGTAACGGTGGTTAAAAGATTACGTTAAATGAGGAACATTTTTTGTATTTTCTCGATTCATTTGTCTTTTATCCAATCAAAATCGATTTTGTTATCTTGGTCTATGTGGTTTTTGATCGGGTGAAAGACAAAAGAAATCGATAAAAGTACAAAATAAATAAAAACAGAGAGCAGGTAAACCTAATTTCCACAACTGGTCTCAACATCTAATGAAAAGAAGAGCAGGTAAACAAAACCCAGAATCCAGAAACAAGAACATGATCAGCTACAGAAGATCACAGCATATTAATCATTCTCAACATCTGCTAATCATGCAAGAAAAACCCACATTTTTTATCAGCAATAGAAATTTGAATAAGTTCTAAGTTCTACTGTTCCAGCCATAATTGATTGATGGATTTTAATGGAGAAAAAGATCCAAAATATATTTATGATAGGATCATATAAGAGTACACGGTGTGTTTGGTACACTGGACAGGGACATGACAGAACAGAACACGGATCCCTATCCCATGTTTGGCATGAATTTTATGTAGAACAAACAGGAACAATTCCACCCTACCCCATCGAACAGGGTGAAACAAGGTGGAACAGACTTATATTTTACCAATATAACCTCAAAATAAAACTTAATTCTCTTCTAAAACAACTCATCAGGGGTAAATTGGTCATTTTACTTGTTCTGTTATATCCAATTTAATCTTACCAAACGTTGAACAATTGTCTTGTCCTATCCTGTCCTGTTTGGACACCAAACACACCCTAAGATGACACAAAATGCATAGACCTTGTACCATTTAACAACAAATAACTATCATGACATAAATGAAGACACATTTCAAATGTAACAATGCTACCTCAACATATTACCATGTCAAAAGAATGGTCCAAAAATGACTGGTAAAAACCAAACGAACCAAGTAAAGTAGGGTATGGAGGTGGGATATACGCATACCTGTCCTGCACTCCATAAGGTAGAGCGGCTGCTTTCATGAAGGCTGCCAGCTTGTGTAAAAATGTGAGCCAAATATGCTTAGTACACGTAGGGAATCCCATGCACATATATACGGAGAGAAGTAAAAAACATAACATATCAACATTTACAAACAATACGATTTGCATGAAGAGGCGTAACGATGTCTCAACTTGAAACCTCAAGTTAAGATGATATAGAAGGTTATGTAAATGTTGGGAGGTGTTTGGTCCATCAGCATGCTAGAGATCAACAATGCTGCTGAAAATAAACGAATCTATGATTCATCTAATCATATTTCACATCTTACTAGCTCACTATCATGGCAAACAAGAAGGCAGCAATTAACAAACGTAAAGACTGTGATCTAATAGAAATGCATGGCATAAACATTATCATAATGCATTAAATAGCAACAAGCAAGTACAAGTACTCTGGCCGTTTACCAAACAATAGGGTAAGCACTTAATTGGGAAGGTTTTTGTTTGGGTTTCTCTTTTCTACAGATGGAAGGAGCGTGTTTTTCAATTAGAAGGGGCAGGTATAGGAAAAAACTTGGCATTCTACATAAAGCTCCCCTTTAGAAACTTACTGAATAAGCCACTTTCTATAGCATTAAGCCACTGCCAAACAGCTGTGAGTCCTATTAGGCTCATTTAGCTCTTAACAAACAGGCCCTAAGAGTCCCTCATTACCAGGTAAGAATCTCGGTTGCTCACCAGTAAAGTAAGTGACACCCGGTAAGCGCTTGGCAGGCGTTGGTAAACGGCCCCTAAATCAAAAGCTTGGCAGGCGTTGTAGTACGGAGGAAAGTAGTCTTACAGATCAACAAGAGGAAGCTCTGCGCGCGTTTGGGACTTGATCTCCCATCTTTTAGATGAACCAGATGTTCAAAGAAGATAACAAGAACATTTAACAGCAATTGCGTTACAGATTTAAGCTTAATTTGATACCAAGAAGAGCTTTCTTCAAACATAATATATCATTCATCAGATAAGAAACACAATAAACGAAAAATTCTCTTTGGAGAACCAAACGACCATTCCATTTTCTATCTTAATGAAGTCTTAATCTCATCAACTGTAAGTGGAACTTCTTTTAGCATTTTCTGCAGACATAAAAAATTGAGATACCCAATAGGTGTTCATCGTCAAAGACGAAGCTCTGTGCAGTGAAGATCATCGTCAATCGAAGCTTCAATGGTGACCTCATCCAACGGCGGTGGCATGTTTAAATCGAACGGCAGCAAAGTTTTCTGAAAAGAAGAAGAAACAATATCTCCGGCATCGCTTTCTTCGTCAACAACCACCGATGAAGAAGAATCGCAGTAATCGCAACAGGTATCTACCACCACCGGATGCGTCTGACGGTTTTGTACAGGTGGCAATACAACATCCGCCTTCATCAGCGGTCTCGGCCCACTGAAAGACTCGACGGTACTACTCAGACTGCTACACGTGGGCATCTGTGGAATGATGATTTGGTGCTCAGTATCTCCATCGAAGAACGGATGATGGCCGTTAGGGTTTTGTTGATTTTGAGCCGTTGACCCAATCGTTAAAGCGAAATTCGTCTTGGCTTTAGCTCCACGGAGATTCCGAGCGGCGGCATCGTAAGCACGGGCGGCATCCTCCGCCGAATCGAAGGTACCGAGCCAAACCCTAGCTTTCTTCAATGGATCTCGAATTTCTGCAACGTATTTACCCCATGGTCTCTTTCTCACCCCTCTAAACCTAATTTCCGTCCCCGATCCCGGCCCAACCGTCACCGGCAGCGCTGCCTGAGATGCCGGAGCTGCTTTGCCGCCTCTCATCACCGATCAAACTTTTTCAACAAGAAAACAATCAAACGAACAACAGGACTCAAAGAGGGATGAAAGTTACCAACAAACAGACGATTAGAACCCTTAAATCTCCATTTTTCTTCTCCGTTCTTGTGGTTTTCTTCTCAGATTGATGGATTTCGCGTGTTGATTTCGTTTCTTCTCGAGTTAGGGTTTACGTTTGCGTTTTCCTATGAAGTATGAACCCTAATTTGGAGGTTCTTCCCCCTTTTCCTTCATTCTTGATTTTTTTTTTATCGAATTTTCAATTTTTTTAAAAACTAATTGTGATGGGAAATAATCGAGGTATGTGAAAAGACTAAAATACCCTTGTATTTATTTTAAATAAGGGTGGCAACCAATCATAGTTTTCTTGTTGTAACAACTTATCCATTTATATCATGATTCATTTTTATTATTAAAAGACTACAATACCCTCATGCTTTATTTTATTAATGTTATCCTCTAATATCTTATATCAAAAATATGCTCAATAATTCATTCTTTAGAAAATATCTCCATTTATGACAAAGATATACATAAACATGCCTTGGTTAGCTTTACAAGAATCCGTCAAACAACACATTGAGAACGTAGAATACCCATCAAGGATTCGTTGGTGACGTTATATAGGGGTGCTTATGGGTTGAGTTGATCGGGTTGAAGACATATAAACAAATCAACCCAATGTTTGCGGTTTGAAAAATCTTAACTCAACCTAACCCAAACCGTATGAGTTGGTCGAGTTGATACTTTAGTACATTTAAATATTCTTATAACCTTGAATATGTTGTTTCTCTACTCATAATTTTTTTTATCATCAATCATTTGATACAACTTATTCATACTTTTTAAATATTACGTATATCACATTCACTTAATTTTCTCAATTTACATATATATGTTCACAGTTATTGAACATATATACAAATGAGTTATATAGAGATGGAGAATATATTGAACATATGTGTACGTGATAGTGTAATTGTCTAATGTATATGTTAATAGAAACTCGACAATCATATTAAATCCAAGAAAAATCAATGATATCGGGTTGGTTAAGTTCAAATAATAGTAACTCAATTTCAATCTAATATCTACGGTTTGAAAACTTTACAACTCGACTAGACATCGGATTGAGTTATTTCGTATTGGGTTGGTCGGATTTTTTAGCATCCCTAACGTTATATAACCTGAAAATATCTATTTATGAACAACCTTTATGGGTTTCATTGGATTTCTAATTCCCTTGTATTAGAGAAATAGACGAGCGGCATTTCGGGATAAAATGGTATTTTCAAAAAGTACGAATACTTCAGAACGAGAATAACTTTAAAGCATATTTATCAAAAGATTAACAACATTTAAACATATTTTTTGGAATTTAGGACAAGATAAGGAATAGAAACTCAAATTTTCCCTTTTAAATTTGTTTATTACACCCAAAAAGTAGGTGTTTCATTGCTACAAGCACCAATGGTTGTCACAAAATCAATGGCCTTAGGTTAACAACTCAACCAAGTTACTTAAATACATGTATAACAAACAATAAAACTTTAATATTATCTCTAGTTATCCATGTCACCACACCAACGGGTCAGGTTCGGGCCGGTAATTGGTATTATTGTCCTCGAAACTGATAACGAAGATCGTCTCCGTAATCGCCCTGATCCCCGTCGGGGATCTTATCGGGGATCCCTGTGATTTCCTGGATCCTCATTAGGGTGCGTTTGGTATGCAGACTACATGAGACAGGACGGGACAAAAATAATAGTCTCATGTTTGGCATGCCATGAACAAAAAAAAAACATGGAACAAGGTGGGACTATTTTTAATTTTAGTGAGACAAATCTTGATATTTCTTGTTCCATCAAAAAAGGTGGAACAACATGAGACTAAAGTTAAAATGACAATATTTTGATTGATTTGTTGTCATTTTACAATTATTATATGATATAAAATAACATTGAACAACATTTAGGGGTAATATGGTCATTTTAATAGTTTTGTCATGTCATGTCCTAGTTGTACCAAACATAGGACAGACAATTAGTCCTGTCCTGTCATGTCCCGTACCGTTCCGTACAATCTGCGTACCAAACACTACCTTAGGGAACCCGTTAAGGGTAAAAATTCCCCCTTTTCTCGTTGGTTTCCCCATTTGCTGTTGGTTATACTTGAATCTGAATACTCGGACGGATCTGAAATAAATTATAGTATGTTAATTTTCACAACTAAAAGTAAATTATAAATTTTTTAAAGATGCAAGTCTAATTGTCTCAAACATAATCAAACCAATTACAAACATCTTATATTATAATATAAAAGTAAACAGAAATTCAAACATCATACGACTAACATCACAATTTCACGATTGAACAAATAAACTATATTTTTTCGTGAGCCTTATTTGGTATTGAGGTAAATTGGATAAAAGTTTTTTAAATTTTAATGTTAGTATTTTTTTCCCCAATGATATCACACCCACACCCACACCCACACCCACACCCACACCCACACCCATGTATATAAATGAAAATTAATATATATACACATATCGGCCTAGACCGGGCCGGTGATCACCATCCCAGACCCCGTTAAATTCCCCAAATATATTCCCGATCCCTGCACAGTCCCCGACCCAAAAGTGTCGGTTTCGGAATTTTTTGCCATCTCAATCCCAACCGCCAACCATTAAGCCTATGATTCTCATCCAAAACTCAAATCCTGAAACACCCGACAACAATGAGGATTCACCAATCACCTAATCCACTATCTTTAGTGGAGGCAGGGGCCAATAACCGTTCCATATAGTTAACAAGTAAAACACGCTTTAAATACTAAAAATATACAATATAAAAAATACCCGAATTCGAAAAAATAATTATATAAACATATGATGACTTACACAAATCCTTTTCTAGAAGTAGAAAAAGGATCTATCTAATAAATTACAAGGAATATCAAAGTCATAACAAATACCAACAACCAAACCTAACTACATTATAAATAGTACTGAAAAAATATATTATAAAACATCATAAAAATATGCTCGAATCCCGAACGACGTCGAGCTAAATAATTCAATCTGATTCGTCATTTCAGTCGTAGCTAATTGCTTGTGGGAAACTTGCAACTCCCGAAACCTGTAACATGATAAATTAATTATTATACTTGTTAAAATATAAAATATTTATATTATGAGTTGTTTGATAATTGATGAATGGTTTGATGCATAATGATTAAGTGATTATTAAATGATTTAATGTAAAATAATTAAGAGACTCACATGATATAATGTAAAATGAAATATAATTGTTTGGTAATTATTTATTGAAAATAAAAAAAGTGAGAAAAAAAAGAAGAAAGGATACGTACGAGGAGGTTGAGAGACCACATACGCCGCACCCCCAAAATCACACGATCCACTCCCACGTGCTTGTTTCTGATAATAACTATTGAACGCATACGAAGCGTGTGCCTCAAGTGTATTAGGATCATAACACGTGTCACCAGACTGAATCGGACGGCAATCAGCTCCACCTTCTCCACAAGCATAATCTAACGCAGCTTGAAGCTTCTCCTCCCCAACTTTCCCATTCGCCACACACCACGTCTGCCCCACCGTACTCGCCGACACATCTCCGTCGCTATTCGCCGGCGACGGAGCCACCGCTACCTGCGATTTGCTACCGTTACTCACCGCCGACGGCAAGTTCGCCAACGTTTCTTTACTCAAAGGCACATTATACACCTTTTGTTCATTCGGGTAAAACAACCCGTAATTACGCTCCGAAGTTGGCCCGGTTTTTTGGTCTTCGTTGAAAAGGGCAAATAAGTAAACGACAAGAGGATCGTTCGGTCTCAGAGGAGTTCCACCGCCGGTGAGTACTCTCCGGACGAGGTTACCTGTAATAATGCAGCAAAATCTATGATTATAACGTGAAGGACCATTAACAGCTCGATAATGTTCGATAACGAAGCATATCTCTTTATGAACACCCTTTGCAGAATTTCGATGAAGAGAGGAAGATGATTAAGAGAGTTGGCGTCGGTGAAATTCTGTTTTAGTGTATATATACGACATTAATTACCGTTATATTGAGCAGCATTGTCTTCTCCGGCGCCGGGTTCGTTAGAATCCCCCTTCGACGGCCAACCGGTTTCAGAAACCACCATCTTCACGTCAGGAAATTGTAAAGCATCCATGGCGGCATACACCGCATCGAGCTGAGCTTCCAAAAGGGTTTTGTAAACGATTCCGGATTTCGGGTCGGGTACCCCTTTATTCTCCCGTAAAAGAGCGTAATCCAACGAAATCGTGTCGGTATTTGCTCCATACGCGAAAAACGGGTAAGCATTCACCATGAGAACCGAACCGGTTTTCTTAAGGAAGCTAAGCATGGGTTTCATCACCGGTTCAACCAGTTCCGGTTTAAACGAACCGGAAGACGGAGGGTAAGACGTAGCCAACGCGCTGAGAGCAACCGGAGAAGAAACGTTGATGTCGATTTTGTTTTTTTGCAGCGAATCGTAAACGTTTTTCATGGCGGGTACGAGGAAATCGGTGGTGTTATTTGGGTCGACGAAGACTTCATTGCCGACGGCGATGGCATCGATTAGGGTTTCAGGGTGGTAAGGGAGGATATTGGATTGAACCCAGTTATCGGTGAAGGATTGGTTACTGGCGGCGGCGGAGAGGAGGTTGTTAGGGAGGGCGACGGTGACGGCGATGTTGGATCCGGCGAAGGCTTTGAGGACAGTGGAATCGGTGTCGTAGAGTTTGATTCGGTTGATTCCGTTGGATTTGAGTAGTTGAACGACTTTGGTTGGGTTAGGGAGGTTGTCGGCAATGCGGCCGTAGTTGACTCCGATTATTCCGGTGGCGGAGGAAGATGCAAGGTGGAGGAGGAGGAGGAGGAGGGTGACAATGGTGGAAACAGCCATGGCTATGGAGGTTTTGGAGATGGAGGTTTTGAGGTTGATGGAATCTGGTATTTATATAAGAAGTTGGTTATGGTGAAAGTGGTGGGGGTAAACTGGTAATTTTGTGGAGGTTAAAGTAGCGGGTAAAAGGTGGAGTGGGTAAGTCGTGGGTGATTTGGTCATTTAACTACGAAAAACATTATCGTTTATTATTTGTTTTGGTAATATAAAAAATTCCATGAATAAGAGAAAATTAATTAAAATATGTCACGTTAGTTTTATGGGCTGTTTGACGGTTACTAAATAGTTTGATACAAAATAATTAAGTGGTCAAAATGATTAAGATACTCTCATGATATAGTGCAAAATGAAATATGATTGTTTGGTAATTGTTTACAATTAAATTATGACGTTTAATGGTTATGAGAGACTCAAGATACAAAATAATTCAGAGGGTTTTATAACCTTTAAGAGACATAATTTTTTTTTCAAACAAAATTCATTTCTTAATGATTCAGAGACTGCCTTTTCATTATTTTTATGAAAATTATGAATCCGACTGTACATAAATTCAATGTTAATATGGTGGATTTGCTATATATTTGGCAATAGAATCATGAACTAACTAGAGATTTGGAAACAAACCATGAGCTTATTATGGTGTTATCATGCTTAATGTTTATCATAATATATTAGTAAAATGGTAAAGTTTAAGCTATTTGAATATGTTGATTAATTAGTTTATATATATAATTGAAGATGAAGTTTTAAAAAAAAGCAAATTGCATGAAATAATAACGTATTTTAATTTGATACACACTGTGATACCTACACACGATATTTACTATGATATCCTGATATACATACAAGATGAACATTGTGATACCCTTTGTAAAACAATGAAAATAACGAAAATGCACATTGTGATTTCATTAAACAAATAAAATACATTATGATATACGTGAAACATTGTGAACGTTGTCACTACGATACACTTTGATTCACAAACGTCTTTTAGAATACGATGTATATTAGGCGATTGATATACTAGGTAACTAATTTTAATTAAATATTTTCTTCTAAAAAATTTAATTAAATATTTTGATTAGTTGTTAAAGATCGAATTAATATATCATCTTTTTTGCTTAAATATCTTAAACAAGTGGTTCATATTGGATCTTACGGTTACCACAAACTAATCAGTCCTCCTTTGAATGGGTCTGCATATATAGGGTTGGGTTCACGTGAGACCACTTTTTTTACACTTGAAACTTCACAGCAAAACGCTGGGAAGGTAAACAAAAGTCGAACCTTCAAAGCAAAAACATTGTGAAAGTTAGTCTCACAGCGTTTTACTATGAAGTTTCAAGTGTAAAAAAATAGTCTCACGGGTCTTGCAGAAACAGGTTGGTCTCACATTATCTCAACACACACACACACACACACACACACACACACACATATATATATATATATATATATATATATATATATATATATATA